AAACTTGTTACACACGAGCCTATTCGCTGACGCCTATTGATGGGAGGAGCAAATTTTAATATACAAGGGAACGCTTCTCCCCCCCCCCCCCCCAGGTGATAACGGGGAGGGACATCGCAGTTTACTTGTTGACGTGATACTCACGTTTTTCTTACATTTTAGATAAGAATGCTGCTGCAGCTAACTAATGCGTTGGCGCCACGTGAAACATCATTGTGGCGAAAAAAAAAACAAAGAAAGCGAATAATCACTTTCCGTAAGCTTCGCGGTAAGCGCTTTTACAATGCAATCGTGTATCCCTATATTGATCATGTGTTTTTCGTAGCCAAATCTTTCGTAGCGAGTCTTTTCGTTGTTATACATAAATTATTATAAAAACGCGGTCCCCTCTTACTCTTCGACGATTTTAAATAGACTGTTGTTATAATTACGTCCGTTTTTTTTTGGCGATTCGTTGAACACGACATCATTTCATAGCCGAATCATATCATGTACACGTCATATACATATATATAGTGTATGTATGTATATACACATATATATATATATACACATTCACACACACACACATCGTACTGAAGTATTGTAATTTTTATTTTTACGTTTTTCCCCATACATTTAATATACATATACACAAGAGATTCTACACTTTATATCACACGGATATTGCCGCAGATGAACGAGAGGTTGTAATTTCACAAACAAGTTGGGTTTAAGTAATGAAATAAAACCGATTATGCCACGAATTCGGAGTCCCGCCTCAGCTCTCTATTTCCCTAAGTAAATTTAATCTACGATTCATAACATTGCGTTTTTCGATGTTTGTTCACTCTAGCGCAGATCTTACGAGTTTCTTTCTCTTGCTAAAAAAAAAAAAAAATTAAATTCAGTCTTGCGCGTGAAAGGAAGTGCGCATTTGTACAGCACAGAGAGAAAGAGAGAGATTATTTTTGGATAGTCGTGATATTTTTTTATCCGTCAGAATTCCGAACGGATGGAAATCCAGAACGCAGGTGTGCCGCATGTAAGCGTACGGTGGATATGCAGTTTTTTTTTTAAATTAATTTATTGAATGAGATAAACACTAGTGTGTATCTGTGCGTCGCATTAAAGAACCATCTTAGCACGCGGAACGTAAAGGAGCATGCAGTTTCGACAAGGCAGAAGAGAAAACGTTGAAATACGAGAAGCGCGATTCCTTGCAGGTCCTCCTGAACTTCACGCAGTGGAAACCTTCCGTCTCGCGCGAATACACATTTTTTTATTTTATTCGCGAGACCTTCCGCCAGCTTGCAGAGTCGGTTCTTCGTTTCTCGAAGTAATGCACTTTCGTTTCACGATTTTGCGATCACCTCTCAAATTGCCTCATCCCGGATTTCCGGGCTTGTTCGAAAGCACATGATTTTTTTCCAAAACGCGTCGTCTGCGCCACTCGCGTCGCGATTGAATCTTGCGGTTTTTCTTTCTTTTTTTTTTTTTTTTGCGAAATCGCGAGGGTTTCCCCGTCCCCGACGAATAGATTCTTCCGTTCGTTGCTAATCTCATAATATCTTTAAAGTTCGTAGGGCTTGTTCACTGAGACCTGGATCGCTTTTGGTACCTCCAGTGGCACGGGCACTGCGTACTTTTTTTTCATACTGTGCACCTCGTGCGTGAGTCCCTTCTTCGTCTCGAGGCTCTTATAAGTACTGTACACCACGAACCAGACGTAAAAGCTCATGATTATCAGGAAAAAGGCGATTAGGCCTGAAAATATTACATTGTCCCTTAATAAGAAGTACAAATATTTTATACACTTTTAATATGTGTTAAATAAAATCATCAAAATTTAATAAAAGTTATAAATAAAATCAATATAAGATTTTTCAACAAATGAAATAATATATGGTTTGTTTTAACACACTCGTTTCGTGCGTTTCGTGTCAATACTCTTTAACGGTATAAAAGAGTAAGGACTCGTCGTCAGTTGAATTTTTTTGAGATAAAATAGATAGAAAATTTAACCGAAAAAATTCATGCAGCACAAAATGTAAATTTTCGAGCGCTTTATGTAACTTTAAATTTCAACGTACGTTCGCAAATACCAGCTCGTCCGCCTAGAGTGGCGAGGAAAGGGCAGTCCTCCTCTACCAGGAATAGGGAGATCGCTAAGGCCGATATGATAGTAATCTTGACCATCATCCAAGGCGCCATGAAATGACGATTATTCTGAAAATTGAGTACATCGTAGAAAAAAAAGAGAACCTTCGATTATTCTGACGAAAACGATTTCGATTACCGTCAGTGCTCCGTAGAGAAGTAACATGGTAGAGACGAAGTGGATAACCGTGATGACGAGGCCGCAGTACATCGCGTATACCATTTCTGCAAATACATCAAGATCAGCGAGAGCGACAATGATTGTTTCGTCGTTTTTTTTTTCGTGCGTGAATGCAAAGTATTATTAATAACCGGTTGCGTTGTGATGCGCCAGGTCCATCTTTTTCGTGTTGAGATGGTTCGACGATATCTCCTCCAGGGCCTCCCTCTCGAGGGCATCTTCGGTGTCTCTCACCACCATCTCCTGAATCCCCATTGCGTGCGCCAGAGCCAGGATGAAGAATATCATGCTGAATCCGGACGAAAACTGCAGCGAACGCACGATAATTATTAAAATTATTTCTCAGTGAAGCGCAATTGCTCGACGAAAAGAGGTTTCGTAGATGTTACTATATATTACCAATTGGAACACGGCGATCAGTATCGTGCCCTGCCTCAGGTTGAAATAGTGCAAAAAGTTCTTCAACAGTCCGATCTTCATCTTGGCTTCTGAGAATTAACGTAGACTATACACACTAGCTTCTCCTGAGCGATTCCTAAAAGTTCATCAATTATTACTCTACACACAACTCGTGAATATCTACGGCAATATCTATACACGCGCTGCATGCTTTAGCAAGTCACTCAAATCTTCTATATATAAGACATATACATTTCGCTATTGTAATAAAGTATATAGGTTTTGCGAACTTCGCGAGAGCAGCCGAGAGTTTGTGTATCGCGAATTGCACTAACAAAACGCGGAGAGACCGAAATTGTTTTATAAATAAAATACAGCGAGTGTAAAATACGGCAATATAACGAATCGAGATCGCGATTCCCGTCTGCCTGTCTCGAGAATTTTACCGATTAACAGTCCATTAGCGAGTCTATCAGTCCTCGGCAATCCCCCCCCCCCCGTGCAAGTCGAGACGCACCTCGAGGTAGCAATCGAGGTCGCCGCCGTGACATATAAAAGTAGGTAAAATACACGTCGCCGCTTACCTTACGCGAGCAGGTGTGCTCCGAGCGAACCACCACCGTCGTCCGCGCGCAACGTCCTCGCGATGGGAATCAATAACTTTCGCGCACACACCGCGCGACAGCGGGACGCGGGTGATCCGCGGCGCGTGTGTGACGACTTCGATGATATCGCGAGGTTTATCGGCGACGAGCTCCGCGACACCCGCTTGTGCGGACGAGCGAAAAATGAATGTACGGCGGCAAAGAAACGGCCGCGTCTCGGGATCGGTCTCTCGCCGCGGGGCGCTTGCGACGCGCAGAACGCGAGGGGGTGGACTCGAGGGGGATCGAGACACGGCGCCCCCGCAAGCGAATCGCTCGAGCGCGCACGCGCCACGGCGGCGTGCTGCGCACCGGCTCTATATACCCGCATCCCTTGGGGTGCGTCTGCTTCGAATTGATCATTGTTTATTTACGACGCGCCTCGCGTTGGCGTCGATTAGTCGCATGACTTGTCGGATTATGATCCTTTTTTAAGTCAAACCTGCTGATTTAATTAAGCCTGATTAGTGCACGAGGCTTCTCGATGACGGGAGGGGGAGGAATTGTTTTACTTTTCATTTCCGTTCTTCGGAATGGGTGATTAGATGGATGATTAATTGAATGTAAGCGTGTATAATTTAAGAATTAATCACTGTAAAAAGAGTTATAGCTCGAAGAATGTTATTTGAATGTAATTTTAATTGATCCTTTGAAAAGTGAACTGAAAAAATTAAGTAAGTCGAATTACGTCGAAATAAATGTTTATAATCAGAATCCTTACTTGATATTTAATATTCCAGATGTTTGAAATTTAAGAATCCTAAACATTTTAAAAGTATAAAACGTATTGATGCATGAGAAAAATTTAACAAAGAATCCTGGATTTTGAAGTCTAAATCTATTGAAATATCTGGATTGAGGTATAAAATTTTTAAATCCAGAATCCCCTAAAAAAGATTTTGTTTTCAAAGTCTAAGTGTCTAAAAATGCAGTAATTAATTGCGTTATTCCAATTTCTTTCGAATTTCAAAATCTGTACGAACTTTGAGCGAATTCCATACAGATGAGTTTGCGAACCGCTGCAGAAATTATTAGACCCACTCGTGATGAGTAATGGCCTGCGACTTCGAATTCTAATCGAAAAGTTAGTTCGATCGAGTTGAGTCATCTTTCCAAGTAGTCATAGAAACGCGACGCGCGCCACCCGACGAACGATAGATCGGCGGGGCCGAAGGGGGATGAATGCGTGATTGCGTCGCTTTGGCGAGCCGCAAAGGGTCGCGCGAGCCCGCGAGCTCGTGACAGAGTCCATTCTCGGGTCGCATTCCGTTCTGCAATTAGCGTGATCGCGCGCGCGTCACTCTCGGGAATTCGCGATTTTCGAAAAGGCCGATGGAGCGAAAGTATCAGAGGGTCGGTTTCGGGGTGGGCGCGTTTCACAATCCCCCAAGAGCGAAGTACAGCGAGGAAACGAAAAATCTTATCAAGCGTAAGTAAATGCGGTAGCCAAAACGCGGCGTGTGTTATTAAATATATTAACCTTTACGTAAAAAGTCCAACTCGTTGTTTTTCTGTATATACAATTCAGTCGTGTATTCCTAACGTCCGACAAATGTTAAATAATGTTAGTGTTGATGGAGGAATCCAAGCTGTCGATGCTGCAGAGGAAAACGATCCAGGAGGCGGTAGACAAGGGCGAGCCCTTACCGCCTTCCATCGAGAGAACGAAAAAGGCGAAAGATAAGGCCGCGGATAGTCAAGTAAATATCGCGACGTAAAGAGAGCGATCTCTAAAGTAAAGTGATTTCAAGATAATATCCCGTAGCACTTTTCCGCTAGGTTAAATTTCCTAGTGCTTGGAGGCGGCGTTCGCAGGACACGATCATAAGCAGCGGCGCGTACGAGAGGGAGCAGTACAGGAGGACGGCGCCCTTACGTAATACGATTAGAAATAGCACTTTCCTCGCGATAGTTTAGGCACATAGCGGAAGGCACGTGACCGCGCGTTGAATCATCTGAATTTTACGCAATTTAGTCAACAAGGAGAAACAAAAGCGTCACTTGGCGTGCATGATGGCTTACGGGAAGGACATGCCGGAGACTCCACACGGTCCCAAGATCCTTCACAGGGCCAAGCGGGAGCCGGAGATACCTGAAAACGCGGATTTTCTGGATGACCGTGAGTGTTACCGCTGCAGTCCTCGCGTGTGGCGTAAAAGACGAGATTTTAAAGAACGTCAGAAAAGCTATTTTTTTTTCTTTCGAAGTTATTCATTATTAATCGTGCAAACAGCGGAGCTTCCCAAATTCGTGAATAGATTTTTGCAATACGCGTTTTCGAGAACTGAACGTGGTTTTTCGTGACATGGAACCGCACGACGACAAATCACGGTCGTTCTGTTTCTCGCAGTGGCGCAAGGGATCCGCGAGAGAATGGATTTCTTGCACGATATGGAGAGTCTCGGAATGGGGAAGAAGTATCGGCCCATAATACAGCAGGAGATAGCGCAGAAAATACGGCTGATTGAGTCGCTCGACGGCCAAGCGTCCGACGAGCTGCGAAAGGAGATCTGTGAAGTCAAGCACGAAAGACCGTCACCCAAGCTGTTTCCGCTTACTGAACCGGGAGAGAATTGACCTTCATTATTCATATAATCTGCATGTGATGCGATTACGTGGAATAGATCGGATTGCACGTGTGTCAAATGTATAGTCGATTGTAATTTTTATCGTATTTCAATCGTCTGATAAGCCACAAGTGAATTTTATAATATAGATAAAAACATAAAAGATGATGCCAAATATTATGATTCAACTGTCTAAAATTGTAAACAGATAAATTTGTAAGATTAGATTTTGAAAAAAAAATTGTTTTTATTCTGCAAAAAATTATATTTAATATGATTTTTTTAGAAAAATAGATGCCAGCTTCGTCAAAAGATTTCTTTTTCTTTCCTTTCTCTTGCCTATTTATATATATATATATACTTATATATACATATATAGACAAGGGAAAACATAAAAATAATAAAAAAGAAACACACGCACACACACACACACACACACACACACACACACACACACACACACACACACACACACACACACACACACACACACACACATATTTCTTTTTTATTATATTTTTTACACGTATCATTATACTCTTGTTTCTTATATAAAACATGGTTTTTGTTATTATTTATTACACTGATAAATTCATTAATTTTATTTTCAAGGTATACCGATTTACAATCTCAAGGAATCTTCTGAGTTAGAAATAGAAATAATTGTTTATTTGTATACATTGATTGATGTACTAATTTTATTCATGGTTGTTTTTTTAGGCTCTTATAGGAAATCTTGATTTCAGAATAAAAATAATTGTTCATATTTCAATCGAACTATTAATTCATGGGCTGTCGATAGTTTTGAGCACTTAAAAAATTCTCCGATTCTAAAATAAAAATAATTGTTTGCGTATCGATTATAGATTCGTTAATTTTATCAATAATATCAATAATTTTTATACTCTTAGGAAATCTTCCAATTTTGAAATAAAAATAATTGTTTATATACTAATCGATTTATCAATTATGTATTCATGTTACCAATAATTTTTATTAGAAAATCTTTAAATTTCGAAATAGAAAAAAACGCATCAGAGCAGAAATATTTGCTGTTATATCGTCAAAACGTCAAAACTGCCGGCGAACAAAGAAAACGTCCCGATTATGAGAACAAAAAGAAAATAAGGAAGATACGTAAAGTGAACGTGTATGCTGATGTATGTAAGCATTTCTCTCTCGCTACTCCGAAACGCGTAACGTCAAGCACCATGCAGCCCGGTCACCGTTTCACGCGGACTCCGCGGCGAGCCGCCGCGATCGCGCGCGACGCGACGCGAGCCTGTCGAGCACGAGGATCGGCGTTCCGCGACGTCCCCGTCGCCAGTCTTTCGCCGCGCGGCGACAGCGTATGTTGTGCGGGTGTTTTTTTTTTGTTTCACGCGTCCGCGTTGTTGACGTGTCGCAACGTCGTGCGCTCTTGCGAGTGCCGCGAGTGCCTGTGGCCGCGCGTCACGAGATCGTTCGTGCTCGCGTGACCGGAACGAGAGAGCTCCGATCCGGATCACACCGCGGTGCCGTCGTTTTATCGAGGATCATCGAGGATTATTTTTCGATCTCTCTCTCTCTCTCTCCCTTTCTTCTCTTCTCCACCGCTCGAACGGATGATCCACGGATGATCCACGGATGATCCAACATGGCGTCGACCGATCTGTCGTTCGGTAAATGATGAGCCTCTCCGAGAAGAACTCCGTAACAGCCGCCGCGACAAGGCCTCCCGCGAGGTCAACCGGTTCTCTCCCGTCGGGAGACCCGAAACGTCGTTCTGCCTCACGAAAACGCGGTCGCCTCCCTTCTCTCTGTTCTTCCTCCCTCCCTCCCTCTCCTCCCCCACCCCACCCCCCCCGGATATCCCGGATCTTCTTATCAATGCGAGCGCAATGAGAGGAATACGGGACACATCGGGGCGGACACGTTTCTCTCGTTTGCCGTCCGTCTCACTGAGAGCGAGCCTTCGCGAGCCGCAGCGGAGATGCAGCTTCCTCTCTCTCTTTCTTTCTTCCCTTTTTCCTGCGCTCCCAAGATCGCGCGTCCGGGATGCGGTAATCAGCTGATCTTTAAAGCGCCTTGACATCCGAATGTTGTATACATATACATATATACGAGTGTGCGCGACCGCTGGGCCGGACGACGCGATACGGCCGATAACGGTTGCATCGACGCACGCGTTTAGTTCCCATACTCCGATCTCCATACCGTTAAGAATAAACTTTACGTGTTGTAGAGAACATATCTATTCGACCTCGCGCGGGTTTTGCGGCCCCGGAGCGGAGCGTGCGCGCTCCCGCGAACGCGCGACTCGATTGAATCTCGCAACACGATCGGAATGTGTAAAAATCATCGGAACGCGCTGACGGCGTTAAAGGGAAGTCGAGATTTTAGCGCGTCCGTGTTAAATACGGCGTTAATGACGCGTGAGATGATGCTTCATAATCGCTCCGGGGATAGCTTCACCTTGGAATTTCATTGGATGAAGTCTATTCTATTCTTTTTTGCGTGACATGAGGTTTTTTGTGCGAAAAATACAGCGAATTTATCGAACAGTATTTCACTGTACGTGAAGTCGGATTTGTTAGAATCGTTCGATTTCAAATAATTATATAGTCTAATAAAAGATAATACATATCCGTTATATAGTGTAATTTTAATTATATGTCTGTTATACGAAGATCGAGATTCGACGATGAATTGATTCAATGTTTCCCGCAAATCTCACGAAAGATTTCGATCTGCGGTTGCGCAGATTCTGTCGTAAATTTGGAACAATGGAAAACGGAGTCGCCTAAAGGAAAATCCAGTGCGTAATTGTGCGGTGTCTGACAATGGGACTTGAGATTTAAGATTTAAGAAAATTGACCAATCATAGTCGATTATTCTTCATTCCACGTGAGAAGAACGATTATGATAGGTCAATTTTCTTGAATTGTAAGTCCTAAGTCTCATTGTATCGCCGCATAAGGTGCGGTTTCTCGTAAGAAACGCGGAGAAAGTCACTCACGGGTTCCCTTTAACAAAAGTGCACGTTTCGTTCGCGGGACGAGCGACCCGATACAAACGCATCTGCAGGTAGAGATGCACTTCGTGTACATTTCGTCACGCGCGAACGACGAGAGCGGTCGCGGATAGAGCGAGCGGTCGCCGCGCTAGGAACGGCCGCTCTCGAAGGCCTCGTTACAGCGGTCGAGCGAGCGAGCGAGAGAGAGAGGCGGGCGAGCGACGGTAGGACTCCATCTGGAAGACTGTCTCTCTCTCTCTCTCTCTCTCTCTCTCTCTCTGTTTCTTTTTCTTTCTCTTACGTTTCTCGCACGAATCCCAGGCTCTATACCGGCGTTCTACAGAGAAGTCTATGAGAAGGTCTGCTCGCCCACCAGCGGAAACGTGAAGCTCGAGGTGTTCAGGTCCCTGCTCGTCAAGTCGCAGCTAAGCGGTGCCATCGTCAATCAGGTACGATCCTCTTTTCTCGTATAATCTACTTATTTATCTTATTTCTTTTTGTTAAGAATCATTTTTAATACGCGGCAAGTCGGATAAAGAAAATGCTTTCACACTTATTCCGATTGGTGTCAGTCGAACGTTAGATTGCAATACAAGTACGATGAGCGAAAGACTGAAACTCGGATGCATCTACACGGGGGACAAAGTATGATGTATTAATAGTTTAGTTATAACAGCAGTCAAAATTGAGAATAATCTTGTTAAGCGAATAATAATATTTATGAAACAAGAACGTCTTGTACATATGAATATATTTTTGTTCTAATAAAATATTATATATTTGTCTCATTAATACTGTTATTGAATTAATAAGATTATTTTCAGCTAAATTGCAATTAACTAATACTATTAATGCAACATCATTTTTTATCGTGTTACATTATTATTGCATTGTAACTTTAATTAAGACTTGTTAAACCATAAGGTGTGTAGACAAATATATGTTTCTCAGAGACGTCAAATTGATCGACTACATATAAACTCGTTAATTTTAATACACACGGTGCGCACGAGTTAGTTTGTAACTACATCAGTTTTCTCTGCTTTTCGTATTTATACGGAGTCGACCAGCTTTGACTTCCGAGAGGCTCGTACAAAAGCTCGATTCTCCGCCGATTACGATGGAGATGTCATTTATTTCCTTATCTCGCGAATCCATCGAGAAATGAATGGGGAGGAGAGAGGAAGAGGACGTTCTCCGTCCGGACTGCCGCAAAGAAATACATTGCGCCGTGGAGTAAATCCGATAGCGAGTTTAAACGCGGCGGGCGTACACTCTCACGGGTTTCAGTTTCTAACGTATACCGCGCGACCTTTCCCAAGAGAAATTTACTTGCGTTGTGTTTATATCTCTATTACGACCGCGTGCGCAAAACGCAATTTGCGTACATATTTGTATTTTACACCGAGAACGCGTACATACTCGTACCGTGGCGAGAGACCGACTCTTCGATCTATTTATGTATTTCGGATTGTGCCAATTTCGATTGCCATATTGAGTAAACAAACAGTCTTCCGCGCGCGCGCGCGGCCGTTATTTTAGTTCTTCATCAATTGATAACGCCTTATCAAATCTGATTATTCATAGGTTTTTTGCTGTTATTGCCTATCGATCGGAACCATCACTATTATTGGATCCTATTTTAATCGGCGATGAATATTTTATTATTATTAATGGATTAATTTGACACACATATACACAGAGGCGCGCGCGGTCATTATTTTAGTTCTTTATCAATTGATAACACCTTATCAAATCTGATTATTCATAAGTTTTTTACTGTTACTGCCTATCGATCGGAGCCATCACTATTGGATCTTACTTAATCGGCGACGAATATTTTATTATTCTTATCGTCTCTTTATTATCTTATATTTTATTATTCATTTATCAGAGATAGAATATCGATTTCCCTATTTTGTTTGAAAAACATTCGCAACAATAGGTACAATGTCGGTCGGCAATGCGTACCGATTTTATCCGCGAGCAAAAATATTAACACATCGTTATCGAAATAACCGGTCTTTGTTTGTCGATTTCAATTGTCGTATTGAATAAACATTCTTAATTGATTAGATGGGCATTGTTTTTAACATCCCAACTTCAACGCACCAGAACTATCGAAATAAACTATCGATTTCGATTGCCTTGTTAAATAAGCAAACAGTCTTAATTGATAAACTTGAGACTGGCATTACTTTGATTTCTCAACACACCAGAACTATCGGAATAGCCGACGCTTTGCCGCGAACGACCCGCAGGCAGAATTATTCGCTCGCACCCGCATGACGGAAGACTTTCTCTGTGCGACTTTTCGTCGTTCTTAAAATTATCACGCGCGACACGGGCAGAGAAATTTTAATCGTCTCTATTCCGATCATCTTTACTCGACTTTCCACGTCAGAGATAACCAGCCAATTTGGCTGAGTAAGTACATGCGCGTCATACGTGCGTTTCCGCGAGCATGATGATGCAGAGCGCGTGCTTGTGTCGTCGGGGACGGGGATAATAAGGTAATTGCAACAAAATAGGAAAAACGTCGTTTGCGCGCTGCAATTATGTACGTATATCGGAGGAAACGACGAGCAACCTCGAGCGTGACGTCGGGAGTGAAAAAAGTCGCGCGACACGACTGTACGTGCGATCGCTTATTCGAGAGCGACGACGGATCGGAAGGGATAATTCGAGCCCCGATCTGCATAATCCGCCCCCCTACCTTTGCCTCTGTAATCCCGTTAAAGCCGCCTAACGTTTTCCTTGTCACTGCATGATGGTCTTTCCGTGATTTACGTCGCGGAGAAAACCTACACACCGCGTGTGGTTGCGACTGACAGGATAATTTGCCGGATCTCTATGCGGCGAAGCCCCGCTTCTCGTGTTACCCGTGCCGCGTGCACGCGGTTTCGGTGGCGGCGCGGCGGTTCAACGCGCGCGGCGACGACGCGCGACGGCGCGTTTACGCTTTCAAGAAAAATCTTCGTGCGACCGTGCGTGCCATTCAACGGAAGATAATGATGAGCCAATTGCTATTTCTAATCGTTACCGGCGCTATCGCGATAATTATTTCACTATTACCTTAACATACGCGCGCGCATATCATTAAATCTGAAGTAACATCTAATTTCAACGCGGCATGAGAGATTCCAACGAGCCGACTAATTCTTTCTAATTTATTGCCTTTTTTTCATTATTCATTACTCATTATTTTATTATTCATCGCTTGTATAATTGTTTCACGCAATGCACTCGCGGTTTCGCTTCAGTGCGTCATCCGGTTTCGCTTGACAGATGCGTCTTCCGATTCGAGGCGTCCGAAGATATACGGCTACATTTGCATTACTCATTTAATACCTCACGCGCGGCGGCGATACGCGATCGAAAACGGAATGTTCTTCCGGTTATAGCCAGTTATTTTTCTAATTCCCACGTTTATACGTCATTCCGTTCCGATAACGCGAACTCCGGTAGCGTCGTCGGTGCGTCCACGTCGTTATCTCGTCGTTTGCAGGTCGGGATGCAGTTCGTCCGGTTTCCGTCTTTTTTTTTTTGTCGAAAGTCGTTTATCGGTGCCAATTAAGCGGAGCGAGCGTCTCCCCGCGAGCCGATTAAAATATTCCAGGCGCCGTATCGACGGAGGCCTTATCGGTCTCTCAACAGCGTACCGCCCGTTCTGATAGCGCGGCACGGACGCCCCTTTCATAATGATGCAAGATTACGTGGCAGGGTCAATCGTACCGCGCTCCGTTGTGTAGTCTGTCGCTCGTGAACAACGTCATCACAGACGCGCGTTCCCCGGCGTGTTCGCGCAATATATAGCCCACTCACCTTTTACTCGCCGTCCGCGTCCGCATTGCGCACTCGCGGAATTCACACGTGCAGATTTCACGGAAAGTTCCCCGGCCCGGTCTTGGAAAGTTACCGCGTTAATGGCATTAGTTCTTTCGGGGAAATCGACCGCGCGAAACGAAAATACAAGCGTATCTGATTTTCTGTCGTATCGAAGCGCTAGCGATGAATCTGATAAAATCTGGGCTACATTCCAGAACGTTGCTTTCGAGAAAAATTTTACTAGAAAGTTATAATTTATAATATTAATGTAATATTAAAATATTGAAATAATATAACATAATATTAATGTGAAAAGGAAGAATTCTCGATTAAAACAAAAAATAAATAAAGAGTAAAATCAGGCTAATGAAAGTTCCGAGCTGTTTTTGGTACCCAAAAATAAATTTATCAAACTAGAGCTTTTTAGTAAAATTTTCCTTGCAAACAACATTTTAGAATGTAGCCCTGATGGAAGATAAATTTGGAAACTGGCGAATGAATATGGGTTCTCGTTCTCGTGCGAGATATTGAGCAACATCATTTTATCGCCAGCATCAAGTAATTTCGAGAATTTAAGTGATTTAAACTTCCGTTAACGTAATTCACTCGAAAATGCGCGATGGGAATATTATTATATTATCATCCATTCAGATCTCCTCGGAGTTTACATTTACATTTCTGAATATAAAATTGCTGTATAATAATTTCATCGAATGTAAGTTTCATGAGATATAGATATCCCACCGAAATGTTAATTCGCCGATATTTTTCCAGAGATATGCGGTGGCTTCGAAAAATTTTATAACGCACATTAAGAACCCGTTTCGCAAAGGTTTCGCGCGAAAAAGTTCAAGCGCAGCTCCGCGACACCCAGAAATGTCACGGTGCGTCGCGACGTCACTCGCCGTGCAATGTCCGTCTCTCGTTCATTGTGCTAACAACACAATCAAAATAGCATTACGCAGGGCCGCGCCGAGGTGTTCCGTTGTCGCGAGCAGAATAACAATTCTTCCAACAGCTACGGGCTGCCTCAACACACAATGCAAATTTTTTTGAGGGCAATAATCCGTCATTAAAATCATACATGTCAATACTGTCGGTCTAATAAGACGCGGAGATTAAATTATTATAATTTGCCGTTATTAAATCAATTAAAATTAAGAGAGATAAATATAAATTAAAAGAGATAAACATGCCATCTATTTTCACAATAATAATTTCTATAAAGTTTGTGAAATTCTTTTATTACGAGTATAATTCATTATAATCTATATGCTTACGAAATAGATGTAATTTTATTGTTCTGTGATTTTTCTGACGTAACGTGATTTTATTATTATATAACATGGATTATTTTATCGCTATGGGAAATCACGGCAAATAAGACCTTAAAATAAACATTTTAATAATATACGTCATTATTATGTGCACTTTATGTGCATTATTATTTGCACTTGAAAACGACAGATTGAGTTATTCCAGCAGTTAGCAGTATTGCTAAAAGATAAATATAGTGCAGTTTGCGAACAATATGATACTTTCGCATTTTTATACGGAAAGGAGGGAAATATGTAGAAAAAAACAAATAATAGAGCCTTATCCCATTCCAGGGTTTTTGCGGGGATGATTTACTCCAAAGCTATATTAATTTTACGTTGCCTCTCAATTAAGCGCGATAGATTAATATATGTACGCTCGATACTGCCGCACACACGCATTGCTTTAAATGTCCATTCCCGACGCGTCGATGCACGCACTGAAAACGAGTACGGCGCACAACAGCAGCCGGCGCGTTTTAACACACGGGTCGTCTTCCTGCTAGGTAGGTGAAATCGTTTTGATTGCCGTCTTCCGCATTGGCATGCAATGCGCGGTACTTTTATATATACCGAATATCCGCTTTTCGTTGAAACCGCCGAAACGGACCTTTCTTCCGTTTCTCTGTATACAATTATTTGACGGTTAAACGCGTCTCTCTCTCGCGTTTCTCGCGCCTGAAAATCAAATCTCGCGATTCCCTCGTAAGTCATTTGCGGTCGTTATAACCAATAAACAGTCTTTCATTCATCGGTCACACGTATATATGATTGATCTCCCCACATCGAACACTTTTGCGAGACTAAAAAAAATTAACTCTGATAGTCTCATTTAACATCTAAATGAGACGCGTGTGTCGGACGATGTGTGCGCGCGCGTGATTTCGATTGCGCCGCCGTCATATTACAACATATAGCGACGGGATGTTAATTTGAGCATCGTCTTTTCGGATTACATGCCTCGTGTACGTAAATGGAAGATGATGATGAGTTGCGCCAGTCGATTCAGTGGCTGCGCATAATTATCTCGCGTAGAGAGAGACGCGGCGAGAACGCATACGAGCCCTCTCTCTCCTTCTCTCTCTCTCGTTACACAGGGCCGTCGTTCATCATATCTGCGTCTTTACGCACAGACATCACATCCGCCGCTGGTCGTGCGGTCGCGTCGAACTGTATTGACACGGGAATGTCAGCACACTCCCACGTCCTCGAGAGTGCACCCTCTCCTCTCTCGTCCTCCTTCTAAAAATAAATATATCAACCGCGAAAGAATCCGCGCGGAGTTATTCTCTTCGAATCGACACGTCAATACGCCATGCACATTGTAAAGGCACGTATCTAATCGACGATTGGTTATACGATACAATATACCGGCGATCGTTTTCTCGGGCTTGTATATAGGTACATACGAGTGCGTTACGCAACCCACACCGATTGCGCAAAAATATTCGCTCAATTATTACACGAGCGCTGTTATTCTTTTCTTCCCTCCGGAATCTTATCGCAATTACGATAACGAGGAGAGACACGTTCTCTCGGGTGTTTGGCATTCCAAAGCACGCGCGGAGGACACGATGTCGCCGAGATAAGGCCGTCTCTCCGTCTGCTCTCTCTCTCTCTCTCTCTCTCGTGCCTCTCTCACCTGTGTCCCATCTGAAACCTGTTTACGCGACGTATTAAAGCGAATTTGCGTACATTCCGCATACCTGTATACGCACATTTTATCAAATAAGTGATCTTCTTCCCTCGTTCTCTCTCTCTCTCTCTCTCTCTCTCTCTCTCTCTCTGTCTCGCTCTTTTCTTTGCACATCTCTGCACATGAATACTCTTTTTTTTCCCTCCCTCTCTCCTCTCCGTGAGACTCCACCCTACGAATATACTCCCTGCTCGTGCCACTTCTCGCCGATCTGTCGCACTCCGCTCCGATTTCCTCCCTCCGTTTATTTACGAGCTCTATCATATTCTTCCGACGAACGGAGCACGCACCCGTGCGTGCGTGACTCGCGCCCTCCCGTGCGACGCGGGGCGACCCGCCGCCGATTCCCGGTTGTTTACTCGCGATTCGCACATGTAGCCGGAATGGAGAATCTATTATTGTCTCAGGCACTCCTCCCGGCTTGAACTTGATTGCCGATTAAGGTTTAACGACACTCGAGGGAGCAACGAGAAAGCGAGGGTGCACTCGCAGTGGCGTAGACGCGAAGGCCTGCTCTTTTCTCGATTGCACTTTCCACGCTCGTACTCGTATCTTTTTTTTTTACTCCTGCAAAGCGCCTAGTTGTTTCGCCGTAAACGTACCTCCTCGAAGCATGAGCGATATATAAAATCACGTATATTCGCGCCGATTTAATATTATTATTTCTTATCATAAAGATCTAATATATTATTCATTATTAATGATAAAAATCTAGAGCTTGGGAGACATAAAAGCTAACTCTTTTTTGTGCGCATATATTTTCGCATCTCCTCGAATTGTGAGCTAATAAAATTATAAGAGGAGGAAAGGGAGACGAGCGTTTTCTTCCTTCACATTTACGCCTCTGGATGCACTTTTGTATTCAGCGTGAGTTCACGTGCACTCGTTCCTCCGTTCCATTGCGGTTTCTTTGAGTAGAGACGGGCGAGGGGATGAGGGAGGGGAAGCCTCGGTTTTACCGCTGGGGCGATAAGAGGAGAAGAGGCAATACAAGGGACATACCGAGAAGGAGAGACGCGTGAGCGAGAGGATACAAGTAGAAGCGGAATGGTAGTACCGAGTGCGGCAAGGTAGAAAAATCCCCGGAATGCAGTTACTTTCATTTATGGCCTAATCCTTAGGCTTCCCTCACGGAGAGTTCACCGTTGTGCCGTTACTCGGGCACGAAGTACATCCGTGAATATATACGATCGCCGGCGCTTTCTCGAACCCGAGTAGCTTCCTTTCTTATCGCTGCGCGTTACCCGTGATTTTTGAGGGATGTATAGTACCACTATTTCCGATAAATATTTTGTTTATTTCAGGAATAAGGATACTAACGTAATATCTATAACAATAAGAATCTCTGCACGGAAAGAACAATTTTGCTGAATTCAGATCTGAAAATAATTTTTGTTCAATAATCAAAATAATTTTGTGCGAAAGTCAAAGTGACCGCTAGAATATCAAAACGTTTTATATAGCAATACTTATCAGTTTTAACATTCCAACAAATTATTTTGATGATTCAACAAAAAATTATTTTCAGATCTGTTTTTAGTAAAATTTTTAGATCTTTCAACAAAATCGTTCTTTCCGTGTAGTATGCTAGATGCGACACTTTAAAACATTCCTCCCTCTATTCTTCCTCAGATATGGAAGCTGGTAGACAGCAAGACAGGTTATCTCACGAGAAGCGGCCTGTACAAAGGCCTCGCTCTCGTCGCCTTCGCTCAACAGGGAAAGCAACCGAGCGACAAGCTTCTGGAAAACTCCGAATCCCAAGGTTAGTGAAAATTTGAATTACTACCTTTATTTAATTTAGTAAAATATCAAGCGCGTAAATCCTTAAAAGATTATCAAAATGTTTAATTCTATGTGTGTGCGCGTACACTTTTTTGTTAATGATCTGCTAAAAAGAAATTTCGTGAACGAGAATACCCTTGAATAATATTTTACGAGACTGAAGCGTCGTCTACAATGAGACGTATGTATAAGATTTAAGAAAATTGACCAATCATAGTCGATTATTCTTCTCACGTGAGAATAGATTGTGATTGATCAATTTTCTTGAATCTTAAGTCTTAAATCTCATTGTTATAGATGCCGCTGAAGGCAGATGATAAAATTTAAAATTCCAAAAAGATTCTGTTTTTAAGAAAGCATTGTTATCAAGAAATATTTTTTTTAAATAAAGCGAAAGCTTCACTTGTTTATTCTCACTACGCTTTTGTATAAGAAAGAAATTTTTAACCGATGATAATTGTGACCGAAGAAACTGTCAATCACAGGTAACTAACGTGTGTCGCCGAGCGCGGATTAGAATTTCCGTGTTCTCGCTAGACTTGCGCTCGCTAGACTCACTAGACTTGGTAATTTTTTTTACAGCCATTCTTTCTTACGGTATCTTTTTCACAGCTTAAGTAGTTTGCTTTACAAACAAGAAAAGCCATATACATACAGGACTTCCGTGCCGTTAACACAGTCCGTATATAGATTGCGTTGAAAGTAGGTCTTGAATAAGTCTATTATCGGACAGGTGTTTAGATAATGTGCGCGAACGTGCTTCAGTGCGGCATATCAGGAAACCTGTAGGCGTTACCGGGAGTCATTGACCAGCAAAATCATTGCCGTTTTGCTTATCGCTAGAAAGTCGCGTATTATCGCGACTCGAGAAAATTGCGCTACCAACTTTCTGTTGGAATATTGTTTACCACTGTGTGCTGCGTGATATGTACATTGGTTCTTATTGTTAACTTTTATTTGTTAATTTATTTATTACTAATTTATTTTTAAAAATAGTTATTTGTTTTTTAAAAAAATATTTATTAAAAGAAACAAACTTTAGTCCAGTGTCTATTATATTCGTTCTATATAAGTTAATACATTTTTTCACTACTATTCTTCCTTTAAGGTGGTTTTATCGCTCAACGCCAACTCGATAGTGTGACGTTGTCACATAAACGGGCACACAATCGCATATGTACAGTCTATCGCGAAATGTTTTATTGAATTATTAGTCATACTGGAGTGAACTAACTTTTGACTTGGGGACTTGCACGATAAAACCACCTTAACATTTGAAAAACAATCGTTTTATAAGAATTGACGTTTGTTGTTATGAATTAGATAATTTCTTATTGGAGTCACGTATTCACATTTTTCAAGAAATTCTTGCATTTTTCGCTTGACAAAAAATTATAATAAAATTTAACGGTTTAGTGCAAAAAATAACCTGAACGATTTTTACCTGTTCTTGTTCTAAAATCGCATAACGGTTTTAGAACAAGAACAGGTAAAAATTGTTCAGGTTATTTTCGCACTAAGGTCTTATTATAGTGCAAAGTTGAATTATAAATGCACAGAAATGAGGGCGGCTATGAAAGTCGAGTCGTGAATGGTAAAACTGTGGGAACATAATAAACACGGCTGTACGTAGTTGAGGTATCGGCGAGGTCAGAAGACTCCTTCGCTACTGACGTTCGCCGGTGATTCTTTGTCAATGTGTAGGTATATATAAGGAGCAACAATGCCGCGAAATCTCGCTCGCGTCTCAGAGTAAAATCGGCGAAATAGAACACGTCGGGCAGAGATACGAAAAGAGAAGATACGCTCTTCTTTCTTTCTTGAATGATTGTCGGATTCATTACCGCAATTTCGTTCTTCATTTATTTCGGCCGAAATAGTAACGGCACACATGCCGCGAAAAATAAACGGATCTCACTCGGCGGTATCGAGGGCGAAGGAATTATTACCGGATCTAGTAGCGTTTTATCTATATCTACTCGTATGACAGAGATAGGAATAATGGAAGAGATTAGGACATTTGCGGTATTAAAAGAAAGGGCAAAATGCAAATATAATAAAACAAAATCAAGATATTTAAAAGATGAATTAAATACCTCCTGAAAAAGTACGCCTTTTGATTCGTTTTATGTATTAAACTTTTGCTTAATTAAATTACCTTTAATAAATTGTATTTTCACAAAGCAAACAATATACAAAAAAAACGAGAAAAATAAAGATATTGACGAAATAAACACTCCTGAAACAGTATGTTTTTCAATCCGTTTTATATATCAAACTTTTGCTTAATTAAATCATCTCTAGTGAATTTTTCTTTCACAAAAAAAAAGGTAATTATTACAATTAAAATTAAAATTAAACGCGAGGAATAAAAATACGAGACGAAAGAAACATTTTTGAAAAAAAATATAATCTTCAATTTTTTTATATTATCAACTTTTGCCTAATTAAATTATTTTTATAATAAAAATTTAAGTTATAAACTCACCGAGTGAAACATATTTCATTTATATATATTTAATTTTGAATTGTGAAAACAAGATTAGCAAAGATATAAAAAATTCGCGATGATAGATCGACTCGAAAAAGGGGGCATGCTCGCGAACGCCCAGAAACGTTCCCCTGTCGCACACGAGAGGAGCTAAATTCGTTGAACTTAATGTATATCAATCAAATTTTATTGCTACTAAGTAATTGTGCAACTGTGTGTCGTCTCCGCGGACTAAATGCGGACCGGTCTCGGGCGGCTGTCAGAAAATCTCCTGTCTCCTTCGCTCGAGAGGAATCTTCTTATTCGCAGAATTACCCGTCCCCGCGCTGGGAGATCTGTCGGAAGTGACGCTCCTCGCGCAGAGGCTGCACCGGGGCAATCCCGCAAAGCTGAATCACACGTACTCGGACATCTGTAATCTGGACACCATCGAGGTCAATCTCGTTCCCGAGAAGAAGGGCATCTTCCTGAAGCACGTGGAGTATCAGGTCGCCAGCAAGGTATTACCGGAGCTCACGTTTTCCCGTGTCCGTTATAGAGAGGCACGAATGGGGACGTGCGGCGCTATTATTTAGATTGCTTTAATAAAACCTTATCTAGATTCTATTGTAGCGAATAAGAGAATTACGCCGTGACGTAAGAGCTCGCTGCGCGGGCTCACGCGAACGAATATTCCATGTTTTTCTCTTCTTTTCAGAGGTTCAATTCCGTGGTCTACAGGCGTTACAATGACTTCGTGTCGTTGTACGATCTCCTCCTGGCCCGGTTTCCCTACAGATTGATCCCCAAGTTACCGCCGAAGAAAATTGTAGGAGGTAAAGGAAACACGCTTGCATATATTTACATACGAAATTATAATGTAAACTCCGAGAAAAGTTACACAATTTAAGAAATTTAAATAAATTATTTTTAATAAATTTTATCTAAGTTATATAAGCTCACCGAGCGAAACGTGTTTCATTTATAGGCGTATTTAAGAAATTTATGTTACATAATTTCGTAGTTAGAAATTTATGTAAACAATCGCAATGCCTGTGCTATACGATTGGCAATACGGGAAGGGGATTCTCGCGAGAAGAGCCCGTTTTCATTTCACTTCGCCCCGGTTGCAGCGGACTCGCAATTTCTCGAGGAGAGGCGGCGCTCTCTCCTGCGGTTCCTCACGCTGATCGCCCGCCACCCGGTGGTGAGCGAGGACCCGATCGTGCAGTTCTTCTTCACGTACACCGGCGACGAGACGCAGCACAAGATCCGCGAGGTGTTCAGGCGCGTGCCGGACGAGTTCGCCACGTCCGAGCTGTCGTCGCGGGCGAAGGAGCTGATGCCGCCCGAGACGCTGACCGAGTTCGCGAACAGCCGCGACCAGATACGCGTGATACTCCTCGGGATCTCCCGGCTGAAGCACATCGCCGACAGCCTGGCGATCAGGTCGCACAATTACGCGGTGGACATGGCCGAGCTCGGCAATCAGCTGAGCACCTTGGCCGCGGAGCAGCACAGCACCGGCATCTGGGTCACCGGCAGCTCCAGCCTCTGGCAGGACATGAAGAAGGGCTTTCACGTAATCTCGAAGTAAGGGTCCGATGTCGATAGGAGAAGTGCGGTTTCACGGCCTCCACTTTGTAACTCTTAACGACGATGTCGCGATATCGTTGCATTGTCATTGCACAAGTATTATACGTATATAATAAAAAAGCTGAGCAACGACAATACAATGATACCGACACGCTGTCGTTAAGAGTTATAGAATAGGAGCTCGCATCGTCGTCGCATGACATAATCGTTGTTTTTTTTTCGTTCTAAAGTCCGTATATCAGAACTACGCGTTAGGTATTGAGGAATTACAAATTGAAGATTAGAATTCGACAGATCAGATTTCAATGTTAATTACCATGTTTCATTTCAACCGATTGGAACTCTAATCTCCAATTCGCAATCCTCGCTCTCCAATGCGTAGTCTGATATGGGCTTAAGAATTTAAGTATCGATAAAGGTGCTTGAGATTTCACGCTGTCGTCGCGTGTCGCACCAACACGATCGTTCCCTTTGTTTCCAGTTATCTCAAAAAGAAACTTTAATGCTTTCGAACGCGGTTGCTTTTAAGCGTAAAGTAAACGGAAAATTTTACAGGGAATTCAACCTGCTGTCGACGAGAGCGCTCCAGCAAGCGGTCAGAGAGGAGACCATGGTCTGCGAGAGGCTTAATCTCCTGCTCGACATCTTGGTCGCGCACAGGATGCTGTGCGAGAGACACGAGCGGGGCGTCAGCGCCGATCATCAACGCGCCCTGTCCACGATGCTGTCCCTCAAGAAGCGGCAGATGCAAGGCGTCATTCGCGGTACCGACGTACGTTTACCTACTTAAGATTTATTAGCCGGCATAAAACCAGCTCGCTCTCCCGCGCGCTCGTCGCACGCGGACTGTGCACATGTAACCGGCGGCGCGGTAATTGGTAACCGCGGGCAATCGCGTTGTCGCAATTGTATAATTACTCGAGTCGAGCCGGCGTGGCGGCTCGGGTGCAATCTGAGAAATCGCGGAGATTCGCCGCGGAGATTGCAAGGTGTAAGCGTAACTTCCTGCCGGGGCCTGCTTACGCAATTCGTCATAGTCGGCGAGCGAGACGCGGCAGGCGGAGCGACGCTCAATTTTCGTGAAGAGTGCACGCGAGTGATTTCAATCTGTAACGTTCTCCCTCCTCTCTCCTCCTCCCGCAGGCCGACACCGTCGAGTACCTCGAGAACAAGATGGTCTCCCAGGAATCCGTGATCGCCAACGTCGAGCTGCGGAACTGCTTCTCGCTGCTGTGCCTGCACATGGAGACCCAGCTCGTGCACGCGCACCTCGAGATCCTCGCCACCGTGCTGCAGAGCCTCGTGAGCGTGCAGATCCGCGGGCATTCCGAGGTAAATATCACCGAGGTAACTCTCCGAGTGTTACATGCTATTTGCTGATTAACGAACACGTGTTCATTTTGCAAACGAACGAGGTGAGATCGCGGTGAGTTGTTACACAGTATATATATTTATTGATACCCGAGAACGCTTTCTCCTTTATTTTCCCTTTCCGCGATGTTAAACTTCGCTATAGTGTTTACTATTGCATTGCCGTATATTGTTTTCCGCGGCGTGCACACGCGCTAAGCAAATATCTAGAGGTGCCAGAGCACACGCGCATACATCATCGGATTTGCCCTGGAAATTACTGATGCGAACGTTTGTTTACAGTTGGCGGAAGTGTGGAAGCTAATCGAACCGACGATTACAAAGTGTTTACCCGAGAAACTGGCGAGCGGCTCCTCCAACGGGGGATAGCACAGGAGTAGCGAAGTTTCGTATATGTCCCCACAGATCATGCGTTGCCAAATAACTGATAAACCGAAACTCTTGTATACAATTCCTAACATTTCCTAAGTAAACATGACCGTTGACGGCAGTACGATTGCCGAAGGACGAAAGGGAAGAAAAGTGCGAAATCTCCACGGTCGTTCCGCGTCGACCGCATAAATTCTATATCCATCTACGTATATAGATTCTATATCTGATTATATAAATTATAAATTCCTGCAGCATTTGTGTATCCTTGGATTAACGAAGTGATTAAATATCACGCACGATGTTTAACCGGAGATATTTTATCTTTTATTATTATATTACGATAAGGAGAAATCTCACGAATATGTATAGCGCGTTCAAGTTTTAAACATTCCCTGTTGTGTACTTAATATATTTTATGGACCAGTGAAATATTTCTCTAATTCTAATTCTCGAATAATTGTTAAATCGCTATGTACATAGGAACTTATATATAGGTTGTATATATACACACGTCATATCAATGCGTGAAAAGTGCCTATGCGATTGTAAATATATACATATATATATATATATATATATATATATATATATATATATATATGTATGTATAACTCAAACGCTGTTCGACAATTTTTATTCACAGAATTTTTATTATGTGCGTACACGTGAATAATCTGAGAATCTTTTATGTGCGCCACGTTGACCGTGGATACTCTCCATGTATTACATATATTAGAGTGTCTCGGAATTATCGTTACAGCGATTCGAATTTTTACTGTAACAAAATCTACGTTTATAATTCAGTTACGCCAAGACGTTTGAAATAAAAATTCTAAAATTCAATTGTCCGACCAAGTTTTCTAAGGAAGGAGGAGTCAATTCCAAAGTGATCAGAGTATTCGCAGATCAATCCGATAAATCGGAATATTCATAAATCGACGACAGTTTCAAGACGACTTGCATGATACTCATGTTTATAGCATAATATGCGATGAAATATATTGTTACTATAAAAAACAGGTTTCCATTTTTCTTCCAGCATATCGAACTATAGATTTTAGCGTAGTGATTATCTCGGCGAAATATTTAACGCGTAAATATTTATCGAGTGCGGCAAGAGAATCGGAAGTAATGCGGTATTATCGGCGGAAGCCGTGCAGGCGATCCGCGCTGTAATAAATTCATGGTACCCAAAATGCTCAAGGCGAGCAGCATATTTTTCCATATAGTTTATTTATGCAAATACGCGCGCGATCGCTACAGCGTTTACATGGCTTGAATTCGAAAACAGCGGATTTGCAAGATGCATTTCGCTTTTTTCTTCGGAGGTAACGTAACTCTCCGCCATCCGCTGCACCAGCTTGAGCCTCGATGTCACAGATGTCGGTACGAGGATCTTTTCGTCCGAAGACTCTGGTGAATGGTGTTCAGCGTTTCGATAAACTTTCGACAAACTTACGCGCATTTCGCGTTAATTACTTCATCAATGTGACACGTTTAATCTCAAGTAAAGTCTTAAAATTTCTTGAAAAAAAAAAAGAAATAATACGGAATTTCGTACAATTTTATTCGACGTATAGCTCTTGTTCTTCTGCCCTCGACTACTTTATATCACGAAAGGGCACATGTTACGTTAGGGCACCGCGAAACGTTAATTATTGCTGGGTCGTCAGAGTGGCAATTTACCGGACTGATGACGCGCACACAGAGTTAAGCGGCGGCGTTGTCCCTCGTAAACGGGTCCGGCCGAATGAGTCGTATCCGCGCGAGCGAGCGCGCGCGCATCAATTCGAAATAAGGTCCTTAAAAGCTTCATCGGACGTCCTCGCTCCTCCGTCGTCTATAGTGAGGACGAACGGCGGCCGTGTAATACTCTTTGAACGTACAGCATTTTAGATTAAAGGCGGTTAACCGACCCTTTCTCTACCCCACGGACCCCCACGTCGAGAGAATAACGCCGTACGAGTTTCACCCGGGCGGAAGTAACGTTTATACCTCCGCCAGACCGTTTTTACCTTCAACATTTCTTCGGGAAACGACTTGTGTGTAGAGAGGCTTCGAGTAACACACAAGCTGATTCACGTCGAACGAATATATAGAACAGATATCTCGAATTGTCTACAGAAGAAAGTACAATATGAGAGAAATGTACATTGAGCTAAAATAATTTTCACGTTAAAAGCAAATCTTTTTTTTTTTCTTAGAGATAGTTATGTTTGAAATTCCGAAATAACGCGACACGATGATGAATAATTAATATTATTATATAATGGTCTGTGTGTAATTCTTGGATAGTAATATATGTTCTAGTGGTCTACAAAAATGATTCGCGTCGAATGTAATTAGTAAATCCCTTTTTCCTTTTTCAAGGTAGAGGGCACATGCTTGAAATTCCCAAATGACACAATATGAATAAATAATTAGTATTATTATATAATAATGATCTGTGTAATTCTTCGATTTACACACACACACACATACACTCTACACTGGTCCATAAAAATCATTCGACAGAATAATTAGCAAATCCCTTTTTCCCTTTTCAAGAGGCACATGTTTGAAATGACACGATATCAATGAATAATTAATATTATTAAAGAGCACTAATCTATGTAATTGTTCAATCATAACAACTCTCACCGGTCCAGAAAAATCATTCGCATCGACGGAACGTAATTAGCGTTGCGATTTCGACATTGATTGGCAGCCGCAACGCGATCCTCGACCGGTTCTCCGCCACGCGCTCAGAAAAATCCTGTATCCCGACCCGTCGCGCGTCGCCGGGAGAGAGAGTCTCTCTCTCCCGTCGCACTCTTCCGTCGCACTTGAATGTCAACATCATCAGATAACGTTCCCTCGGCAAGCAATTGAGAACTCGAGAATAAACGAGTTCCCTCCTCCTCGGAGAGATCGTCCTCGTCGCCAAAGGAATCGTTGAGGGTGGGACTCGCGGGCGGGCGGGGGAGAGCGGGGGGGGGGAAGGGGAAGGGTGTGCTATCGGGCAGAAAGGTCGGGCTACTGAACATTGCAGAGGCAATTTTCTCCGACAATGCCGGCCACTTTGTTTCTACCACCCGTCTCCTCTCGTCCCGTGCGTGCGCGCTTTGTGAATCACGCGTGACTCGGGGGGGTGCATTCCTGCTTTCTTCCGCCGGCGCCGAAGGAGTTCCGGCGCCGCCGACCGACGGTGGAAGAGCGCCGACGCGTCGCGGCGCAGTTTCCCGGAAGGAGAATAACGGCAGGAGGAGCCCCGTGATGGTATATAACGCAGCGCGTTAATTAGACGCCTTAGGCCATACCGACTAATTCGCTTGCTTTGTGCGCTCCACCGTTCTCGGCGCTGTCCATCCGCGTTGCTCCTCGCGTCCATCCCCCTCCCCTCCCCCCCCCCGTCTGCGCGTCGTTCTTTAATTCGATTGCCTAAACAGAATACTCTTTCCGCAGAGGAATTTCCGGAGAGAGAGCCCTCTGTTGTTTTTTTTGTTTTCGGCGCCTTTTCACAACTCGCGTCTGCCAGGATTTATTATCCTGCCCCGTCGCCGGAAACGCGTGAACGAGTAAAAAAAAAATCGAAATTCCATATTCCATTGCATGACACAGCCGCATCCGCGAGCTGCGCGTGTCGTATAATCGGTTCACGTCCTTACTAATCTGTTTTTATCCACGTGTATCGTTAAGCCCGGCTCGACAAAGCGACACGGATATGAAAAGTTAATATAACAATTCTGCTAATTCCCTCTCTCATTATAAATGTTTATTCCCCCTACTAATTATAATAGTTGTTTCCCCCTGACAATTTCATATACGTGAAATATATAAATATATACATTGTTAAGTGCGACAATGTGCGGCTTATGCATGGATTTCCTAAATTGCGACACGACGGGAACGAAATGAAATTTCGCAGCTGGTATGAGAGATGCGCGCCGCCAGCGTGACGCAAAATTGTGCGAAAGAGAGCTCCATAATTAAAAAGAGTGAAATTTTCTTCTGAAGGCCTTCCTTCATCCTTCTTCCCTCCGGTTGCGTCCCCTGCATTAAAAGAGCGAGCCTGCACCGCAGTCCCGGTTATTTTTCGGCATCGCTGAATTATAGGCTCGCTGCACCGAAATGCGCCGCGCGAGCAAGACATACAGAATCGTCTCTCGTTATCCGCCGAGCGGCCGGCCGGGCAAGTGTGCGGCTCGTTAAGAGGATTCCCTTTGACGAGCTCTCTCTTTTTTTTTCATCCTTCCCTCCCCCCCCCCCCCGCCTAACCCTCTCGCGCGCTCTTGGCTGCTCCTACTCTCGCGCTGCTGCAGGATCTCGTTTGCAGGATTTCGCGCTGCTGCATAAGGAGATGATACGATTAAAGTTGCGCATTTACAATTGGACGTACGTATGTACGTATGTACGTATGGCCTCGGGTGGAGGGAAGGGAGGGGGAGGGGGGAGGAGAGGGAAGCGCAATTAGATGTAAGCCTGTTTACTCGGAACAGAGATGTTTTGTCTGCTTGAAAGCGTGTACGCTTGCAGCACCGGGGGTTGCCGGCACGTGCGCGATTAAACTCGATCAGAATCCTCTATTCGCCCCGAAATTGACTTAGCGGGTTTCTTGCTTCCGGTAGAACGGGTAGAACGGGGTCGGCGGGTGAAATCGCGTTAACGCGGCACAATGGCCGTTCCGCTCGCGTGATTAGGTGCGATTTGTGTTGTCAACCGGTCGATTCCGATTCCCGATAAAAAAAATTTCCTTTCTCCCATTTCGGTGCCGTCGCGTTAACGAACGTTTTTTTTTCTTGTTGCAAATTGAGATTGAGATATGAGCCCGGTCGCAATAACGACCGCGGCTGAGAATTAGAATCCCAATGCCGAGCGACGAAACGAGTTCCGTGGCGGATCGAGAAAACTCCGGCCCGGAAGGAGATGCACGCAAGTAACGTCGGATATTACACCACCGCGCCGATACGCGCGTCGCGGATAAGTCGCGAATCCGTGATTCGTTTCATTTCGCCGAATTTCACGGACGGACGAATCGCGCGACGACGGTAGAATTTTGCCGGAGATATGCCGCGCCCCCCCCGCTCGCCCCCCCCCCTTCGTGCTTTCGTATATTGCGCGCGTGAAATTTGCTGGCGAGAGAGCCACGAGACGAGCGGCTGGCGCGTTGGGAGAGAGCGGCTGCGACGGTTTTCACCAACACGGCGAGCGATATAATTTAAAAGCCGAATTTGCACATGGTTCACCGTCGGAGAGACCCGAGAGCGGATCGCGTAGCAATAATGCTAAGATAATTATAAAATCGCTGATTGATGATGGAATTCGTCGTACTCCGTCAGATATCTTACGTGCTTTACGTTGCCGCATAATAATACAAGTAAATGGGTCGAAGAAACGTAGCATTTTCTCTGCATGTAATTTAAAATTAATTAAAAAATAGTTTCAAAGTTTTTATTCTATGAATTTTATAATTCCTATAAATTTTTTTCGCTATTTCCTTTTGCTCGTCCCGCAATTATTCATACGTAGAATGTTAGCGACGAAAAGAAATAGATCATCTCTCGTCGTTTTCCTAATCGATTTC